GGTGTCCTCTGGGTTACCATGGCACACCACCCGGGGTGAACCCCGATCATATGCACGGAGGCCTACGCCTCAACTTTACCACTGATTACTACAGACATATATGGATGTTTAACCCCTTAAGGACCAAACTTTTGGAATAAAAGGGAATCATGACATGTCACACATGTCATGTGTCCTTAAGGGGTTAAACACTGCCTGTCAGTTTTACATTAAAGCAACAGTACCATGCCGGATGCGATTTGACGGCAGGATCACTAAGAAAACTGAGTGTATTGCGGTGTACCCTTCACAGGGATACATATATGTATATTTACTGTGCCTAGTGTACATATTGAACGTGGGTGTCCTCTGGGTAATTTTTCATGGCACACCACCTGGGATGACCCCCAGATATGCATGCAATGCTTGTAAGGTGCCAATAATTATAATATGGGTGTCCTCTGGGTTACCATGGCACACCACCTGGGATGAACCCAGCCTAATAGACATGGGTCCTGCGGCTGCAGACCTTATGGAGACAGGCCCCATGCGCCTATATAATAAGCCTGTATAGTTAAAAACCGTGCATACAGCTCTGGCGTACATTTGTGGTGAACCCGGCTAGCCAGACCAACACCACTACCAGTCAGTCGCGCCTGCACCACGGCTCTCAGTAGCCAGATTAAACTAATAGAGGTGACCCCTCTACACTTGGCACGAGTATTCATACTCTCAGACATACTAAAGCAGGCAATTCAAACCGTTTTACCTGGGTGATCCCCAGTTCTACCAGGAGTCTAACACCCCTACGTGCTGACCCTCACACTATCTCCCAACAGGACGGAACGAGTCATGGTGGACACTCTCAACGTTCCCAAGATTTCTAGGCAATGATAAACGCCACAGTAACGGCCTCAGTGGAGAAGGTTCTGTTATGAACTCTACCCCACACCGCTTGATGGAGACCTCAGGCCCACAAGCCTTCAAGTCAAAATGGCAAGGGAAGGGCTCCAGCCCCCCTGCCACTAAGGTCAAGGGCAAGACGCCCATCGAACAGACCAAATAGGCGGAGCACCGGGAATCCAAACCCCGTCCGCCACAATCTTCCGACAAAGAAGACTATTACCCACCACGTACTTTGGACATGGTAGATGAGCGACACGAAGACAGCTCACCGTCTGAGGAAATGGAACGGCAAGACCTTCCCCACACTTCCTCGAAGTACGTTAGGGAAACCTTACTCTGTGACGGCGGCTGAGGCAGAGATAACTGTAGCGGCACTAAACCAGAGTAGCCGAAGACGGAACGTTCCTGGATGAACACTATTGGCTGCGCAACCCTCGGGGGATGGAAGGATGCGCACGCCTCAAGACCGAGTTACCCCAGGGTACACAACTCAACCCTACCACCTCCAAAGAATGGTCTCAATGCTCGATATGCCTCCTGGGCAACGTAAATGACGCACTATGCGCCGACAGACGCAAATCTGTACTGGGCCGCATCGACAACACACTATTGGACTTAGGAACGACAAGAATTCGGCCCAAAAGCACAAGGCCTACTATTCGACGTAGTGATCATTGCAGTACTCAAGAAACACGTGAATTTATTCACCACACTAAATTAAACCCAGACCTCGCTAAAACAAGTCTTCCACAACCCTACGGGGAAAGGTGTTTCTGGGAGGACTGGTCGGTAGCTGAACCGAGCCACCAGCCGCTTCTGGGCGACAGGTTCCAGATCGTATACACAGTCCTCATATTTCTCCCATCTACTACACAAAGGAACCCATCCGCTTCATCTACTAGTGTGTCAACCTACATAACTAACTGTTTCCAATATTATGACCGGCAACCTGTCTCTGTTTTACAGAATTGGGAGACGACTACCCAAGTCACCTGGGTTCTCCAGACAGTACAAGGCTATGTCATAGAGTTTTATCACAGCCGTGCAGGTCGCCCCTTCACCTCCATTACGCACGCTGGCGGAACAGGAACGCCTCGTGGACAAGAAAATCTGCACCCTCTTCAGGAGGGGCGCAATTCAACATGCACCGGAGGGGAAGGCTTCCCCAGCAAAATTTTCCTGGTCAAGAAGAAGCCAGGAGACTACATCAATGGAACTCCTACATGGTATACAAATGCTGCAAGATGGAGGAAATTCGTCTTCTACAAGACCTCCTAGGCGATAACGACTGGTTTACACATCTGGACCTCAAGGACGCACGCTTGTCAGTACCCGTTTGCCCTGGACTGCCGAAGTTTTCCTCCGATTCCAATGGTGAGAACAAACACGGCAGTTTACGACTCTGTGGTGCTCGCGAACCTACTGTAACCAGTGAGGGCACACATCCGTAAATTTGGGCGTGCGATGCCTCGTATACCTGGAAGACTTGCTGATTCTTTACGAATCCAGGCTACGTTTGCAGACAAATTTGTCGTTCACTTTCGGGACTCCATGGGTTTTTTGTTGTACACAGACGAAGATCGCTTCTCCATCTGAATCGGGCCAGTTCCTCGGTTTCGACATCGGCTTGGAGAACTACGTTCCGCGTCCGTCTACGGCAAAGAGCGCCTCTATAAGGATAGCTGTCGGATTGTGGGATTCCTCTCCTCCTCTCCTCCTCCATACAAGCGTTATTCCCTGGCCCACTACGACTGATGGTGAGATACGTACGCACCGGTCACTCATACGACCACTGGATCCCACTGTCAGCGGAAGTGAGGATGGAATTTCGATGGTGATTACTTCACATACAAACTTGGATTGGCAAAACGATCTTTGACTCTTCCTTCGGATACGGGGCGATGGATGAACCCCTGCAAACGCGACCCAGCCGTTCTCCACAATAGCAAGGGTGCTTCGATACACACACACACCCACAAGATATCGCTCCTGCTCATGACACCCCTCGGGCAGGGCCAACCGTGATTTCCCGGATCGCCTGGAGATGTCTCGCGAAGACCCTCTACTACTCCCTACCTTCCCTCTACTTCTGACAGGACCTCGAGGGGAAGCCCACTCCCTTGTCATGGAAGGACAACTGGCACTAGTTGCCTGGACGGTTTCAGGGGCTCCTGGTCAGTTCACAACCTATTGCATCAACTAAGACCTCCTATGGGACTCATAGGCTCCCGGCACCAGGAAAGGCTATATTTCTGCCTGGTCGGCCTGGAGTGATTGGTGTGTGGAAAGGGATTCCGATCCCTTTACCGCACCTGTCCCACTGATCCTCAACTATCTGTCACACCTGGTCTCGTTGGGTCGGTCATATCGATCCCTCAACGTGATCAGATCCGCCATATCGGCGGCGCACGTTCCGGTACAGGGCAGACCAGTAGGTCAAGATACACTGGTTTGTCGACTACTGCGGGGTGCCGAATTGTCGAGATCCCTGCACCCAAATATTCACGCCTCTGGCAGGTGGATGTGGTGCTGAGATTCCTTAGGGAATGGCCGGACAATCCTTGTTTGTCACTGAAGCAACTTTCAGCCAAACTAGCCCTCTTATTATGCCTCGCCTCATTTAGACGGTGGCGGACGTTAGGGCTTGCGATATGGATGGTTTCTCTCTCACACCAGACGGGGTTACCTTTACCATGTCGAGACGAACTAAGTCTGATTCGTCTTCAGTGTCATACCCATGCTTTGTGTCAGACGCCACACTATGCGTGGTCAGAACGCTAATGGGGTACACCAATATCTCTACCCCCTTCGAACTCATTCGACGGATCACCTTCTGACTTCTTACATGAACCCTCATGGACCGGTGTCTACCGCAACACTGGCCAGATGGGTCCGCTGGTTTTTGTCTTTAGCGTCGAACCTTGTTTCGGAGCCCACTCGGTCAGGGGAGCGGCGGCCTCACAAACCTTTTCGGCCGACGCTTCCCTAGCCGACATTATACGCTGCGCGGACTGAGCGCGAGAGAGTACGTTTAGAATGTTCTATTTTCGGCAAACATCTCATGCTTCCTTCACATTGGTCAATTCAAAGCTTTAAAAATGCAAATATGAAGCCTCCTGTCATGTGGTAAAATTGAAGATTATATTAGCTTTAGTGTACTAATAATCTTAATTTTAGTAATGACAGGAGGCGAATATTTCCCACCCTATAGGATCCCTCCCATGTTTCTCGTGTTGAACAGAATATGTCCTTTATGTTCAGGAAGGTAAGTACGTATGGTTTGTATGTTTGCTACTTAGACCTGTATCTTGTGGGTCTTGTATTGGCTGAATATTAGACATGAACCTTGCATTATGTTGTGTTTATAGATTCTTAAATATCATTGCGTTAGAATAAATATATATTGATATGTTTCACATTCTAGTGTTCGTTGGTATATCAGATGCTTAATGCTTATTGTATGCGGACAAGTTATCACGCCAGATACCTTTCACCTTTTTCTTTTTCTTGCAGTGTGAACGTCTTCTCATCGAGACAAAGATTCACCTTCCATACCTCTGCATCGCGGAACTAATGGAGTTGGATATTCTAATATGTTGTTGAACTGTTGACGTAATATGATTATGTCTCTTGTTATTTATTGTTTCGCTTCAAAGAAAGAGGAAGTGATGTCATAGACAGGGCCTTTTATGGGCATCATAACTTTTTTCTGATTGGTTGTTATGTTTCTGTTGCTGCTGGAGTTTTCAGTAAAGAAAGATATGCAAATATTCGCCTCCTGTCATTACTAAAATTAAGATTATTAGTACACTAAAGCTAATATAATCTTCAATTTTCCTTTATTAAAATTGTTTTTAATGCTATGTTCTGAAAATGGTATCTCTGAAATTCAGTCTACAAATAGGCCGACACAGTACGGGTTATGCATAAAAGGTTTTCATGTCTGATGCTGTTTTTTGGCACTTTTCCAATTTGCTCATATTTACGTCAAAATATTCCCTACTGTGCCCCTTCCATCATTTTTATTTCAATTTATTTAATTTTCCTGTTTCCTTTGGTGCCCTCAAAACTGCATTAAAAAACGTGCCGGGGGGCGGAGCCGACTGCCGCAGAGACTGGTCGCACGTTTCTAGAGCTCCTCTCCACGACAGCCAATATCGGGTGAAATATTCAACTTAATTGCACCCACAGTGTCTAAGGGGACCACCCTTGCCACCAAGACCCTGATGGGACGCAGAAGCAAAAAGCTCAGACCAGACAAGCCCAGTCCAGGGCTAACAATTGGAGACCTATGGCGGCAGGCGCATGGTACCACTGGGCCCAAGATGGCCACCCTCACTGGAGGTTGCTCCGAGTTTTCTGAGGACGACTCACTAGGAGACGAAATGGAATACCCGCCGGCATCAGAGAGTCTCATACGGAGATCACAGGACCCAGCAGAGCCTCCGGTGACTAAATCCGACCTAAAAGAGATGCTGGCCGAGCTCCAGAGAAATATCTCAGCGGATATAGCCACAATCCGCGGGGACCTGAGAGGCCTCACAGGCCGCATCGGGAAACTCGAACTCACCACCAAGGAGCACTCCCAACAATTAGTGTCGCTCCAGCAAACTGTGCAGGAATTACAACACCAAAACCAGCTGTACGAACGCAGATTTGCTGCCCAGGAGGATTCCCGGCGCCAAAACAACATTAAGGTGCGTGGGGTGAAGGAGGAGATACCGGACGCGGAACTGCCACACTTTGTGAGGCGTCTGATAGGGACCCTACTGCAACCCCGACAGGCTAAATCAGTGGTGATAGAGGGCAAATTCCGAGTACCCAAACCCATCAGGGCCCCAAACAATGCCCCCAGGGACCTGGTGGTCCGGTTTCAAAGCGGGTCAGACAAAACCGCTGTCCTGACGGCACTAAGAGGACACTCACCTTATCATTTCGAGAACATGCCCCTCACAGTCTACGCCGACCTCTCGGGGAGCACCCTGGCATGGCGGAAAACGCTCCGGCCGCTGACCGCTCTCCTACAACAGAAAAATGTCCGCTACCAGTGGAAGCTCTCCCGCACATTGCTGGTGCACCATGGAGTCACTCCACACGCCATCCACAACCTCCAAGAGGCTACCGGACTTCTATCAGCCCTGGGGCTACCCCCAGAAGCCCTTACCCAAGATACGCCACCTGAACCGGCGCCCTCTAGCTGCTGGGACCCCGAGAACATTCCCCCCTTTGTTCCACGACGGATCGCCTCGAACTCTTATGTAGCTGCAACCACCTGAACAGGAGCAGCCGACGACCGGGACCCACATGGACACCAATTCAGATAATATAATGTTAATTTTTATGTTTATGATTATCACTGTCAAACCCAGTATCACCAGTCTCTTATGATATACGCAGCCTAGCCCCCACTCTTTGGCAAAATTACTTGTTTTTGTGTCCCGCCCCAGCTACCAGTACAGGGTGTACCTCGATTACGAGATATACACAAAGAGACTCAACACTGATTTTTGTTTTTGTTTGTTTTGTTGTTTTTGTTCATGTACTCCCCTGTATAGATACATTTGGGCCGGCTACACATATGCCATTTTATCTGTTTTCTCGGTTGATTTCACCTTACTATAGCCGGGCTCCCAGCGTATCTGCTAAAGTGGAAATATACAGTTAACAGACGTTTTATTTTTATTAACACGCTTACCAGATGATTCTACAATATATGTTGTTGCTTGGCTTTATGTTAACTCTCCCTTAACAAGCTCTCTACTAATTACCTGACCCAAACCCACTATGTGACTCCCACAGCAGGTGCAGACTAGTAACGAATCAGGAGTTTTTAGAGTCATGCAGTGATACCCTAGCTCGAATCTTCCCTCCACCATAACTGTGAATGGGATAACTAATGGAGATCCCAGCTCATATCCCCCTTTTGGTTTCGGGAGAGACTAATCATTGGTCATTCCTCATACCAAGTGAGGGATACCAAAGCTATCACACCCCAGAGGATAGTGAGACCTAATGCCTCATCTCTAGACTCGTAACCACAATGAGATGTCCCCCCAATTACGCCTACACTTTAATTAGTGTACTTAAATGCCCAGCGGTAACCACACACAGGTCACATATAGCACGTAGACTAGCCAACACGGTGAACCTGTTACAACCAGCAAGTAACCTGCAACAAATGAAAGGTCTAGCAATCACTTCTCTTGTGTATTTCTTCCCAACCAACATTTGCCTAGCCAGTTTTGTTAACAAAGTTTGTGCGTTTTTAAAAAACACGGCAAGCAATTTGTACACTACTGTTTTCTCTAAGTATACAAGCCTGCCGATCTCACAGGATGCCTCAAGCCAGTCGCACTAATTTAGATTAACCATATTGTTGATAACTCGTTTGCTGTATCGTTACCCTTTTTACTAAAAATTTATGCATACTCAACTTGCCACAATACTGCTATCATATGTCTATGTAAATCGAGCCTGCTAATGCTGTTGTGGCGACACAGGCACTGTTGTAACTACCTGCATACCAAAAATAAAGAATTTAAAAAAAAAAAAAAAAAAACGTGCCGTACACTGGCTTCAGTGAAAAAAACTGTATAGTATATAGAGTATGGCTACTCAATTACGTCAGATGTCAGTGTGTTACTGTACTGCCCTCTAATAATTTCTCAGATCTCATATTACTGATTTACATCTTTTGAACAGCAAACTGTTTTCAGGTATCAAAAGGCCCAAGACGATTGAGATGTCAATCTAAGCAAGCAACTTACTTGTCAGGAGATCTACATACATTTAAATATAGGGATTTACCAATACTACTCTTGCATTCCATGTCACCCAGCTGGCAATTAGATGCTTATTGGATGTCCTTGCTTAATGTGTTTACTTTATTCCATATTGTTTACTAGAACAGGATTCGGTTCTGTCACAAGAGTGTTTCAAATCACCTTCCCTTCCTTTCTTTTTTTAGATTTCCTCTTTTTCCCATTTGTGAAAACGCTGTGCAAGTTAGTTAGCTTCAGAAGCCCTTATTAGATGTTTTTGTTTGTGTCTTGTTGGGAGAATGTGGATGTTGTATGGCAGGAGGATGAGTGTGTTTTGGAGTGTGTTGTGTGTGTTATATGTGGGTTGTGTGTTGTGTGTGGGGAAGCTGTGTCTTCTAAGGCAACCAACACATTTCCCTGATAATAAATAGAAACATTTTCTTCCAGTTCCAGTAAGAATTTTTTTTTTGTGGATCAACAAGAGATCCGTGGAGGTCTGCTTGGTATAGCACGTTATATGTACCGTTCACTAGTTTAGATCACTGTGAGCACCCCATTGCAGTTCAATGGTCCTAAATGACCCAGTGTAATCGCTAGTACCCCTATTTACCACTATAACATCTTAAAGTATAGAATGTAGCAGGGCTGACCATACATATATCTGTAGCAAAAATATTATATAGTCGGTAAGAGTTTATCTAATTAAAATGTATAAAAAAATTGAGAATACAATACAATTTCTAATTACTACAGGTGGTTTATGGGTTAATTATACATCTTAGGGTTAAAAGCAGTTCATATGTGAATATCAAAGGAAAGATATCCCTATCAGTCCATTGTCATGACCAAGACACCTTTAATGTTTATTTGGACTAAAAGTAAGGCTGACATAGGCAAGGCCTTGACTTCTTGTCATATTCATCTAGAACAGGGGTTCCCAACCCAGTCCTCAAGTACCCCTTACCGGTCCAGGATTTGGGATCACCCTCTTGTGTCTAAAGTGTTGTTTTTTCTTTTCTAAAAAACACCTTAGACACAACTGAGTAATCTGTAAATCCAGGACTGGTAGGTTTAACTTGAGGACTGGGTTGGGAACCACTGATCTAGATGGTAAGTTAAAACAGGTAGAAAATGGCACTTTTAAAATATTATTTCAAGAGCATACATACAAGAAAATATATAGCAGAACCTTTTTGGAGTGAATCCAAACACTTGCAAGTACAAAAAGTTAAAATAAAAAGGTGTGCTGTGTCTTTAAATCTTTAAAGTGAAAAATTACTCATTTTGTGCAAAATTTCAATGACTTAGTAAAGTGCAACAATTAAAGTGCAATTAATAATGCTTTGTATAACACTTTCTTGATATTAGTGCCACACAAGAATAAAGTGCGCTGTGCAGAAAAGTGTAGAACATTTTTTCAAAATTACCACAACTTACAAGAGGTAAACGATATCCATACACATGTACAATATTAAAAAAAAAAAGGAGGAGGGGAAAGAGAAAATATATAGTGTGATACTGTTTCAACACTAAAAAAAATGAAAATGAAAGATACACATTCACAAGTGTAGAGCAGATGAGTGTGCTCTAACTGTAATGGCTCCAAACAGTGATTCAGAAGGAGCTGCAGGCAGAAAACGTGAGGCTGGGGTAGATGTAGAACAAATCTTTATTTCACACAACATTTAAAAAATAGCAGCAGGCAAGTAGACCCTCTTCCTTTCCTCCTCACCGGGCAGGTTACTTAGTTGGTCTCAGCATGTTGCCAGAATCCCATGACCGAACTGCAGGTATCCCTTTATACTTCCGGGAGGCGGGGTTACTCTCCACTAGTGTGCGTGATGATGTTGACAGCGTAATGACCCGTTTCGTTGTAATGACGGCTTCCTCAGATCTACCTTCTTACTGCCTGTGTCTCACTTATAAATCCACCCTGTGTGGGTGTGTCCATCATTTAGTCCTTTTTTTAATCTTGTACATGTGTACATGTGTCGTTTGAGAAAATATAATTTTGTAAATTGTGGTAATTTTGAAAAATATTTCTACACTTTTCTGCACAACGCACACTAGTATCAAGAAAGTGTTATATAAAGCATTATTAATTGCACTTTAATTGTTGCACTTCACTAAGTCATTGAAATTTTGCACAAAATGAGTATTGAATTTGTCACTTTAAAGATTTAAAGACACAGCGCACATTTTTATTTTACCTTTTTGAACCACTGATCTAGAACGAGATGGCATCTTAAAGTTTAAACGTCTTAAAGTGGGTAAGACGTTATTAATTAACACAACATGCTACAGTTTGAAGAAATACAATTCAGCAATGTCTATTATACCTACAACCTATACCATCACACCAGCTGGTTAACTCCATTGGAGTATGTTTATCACAGGCACAGAAGCAGGACTGCGTCATAAGGTGGCCTCTAAAACCTGCTAACGTAAAGTGACCTTGCACACAGGAAATTAACAATGCCCTATAAATACATCCCTAGAAAAAAGGTTTTGAAAAGTTAATGTGTCCTGTCTTTCATTCTTTATGTGAAAGTTAATAGTCAGATCAATGTGAGGAGTTAACACAGCTGACAGTGAGAGTCCCCAAACACATTGACTGTTTGTCCTTGGTTTCTAAAACATTCTTTACTTAGTCTGTGCCAGGAAGACAGCTTCTGTTAACAAGAATAAAAAAAAACCCTTGAGGGGATGAGCAGATGTTGCTACTGTGCCCCTCAGATTTACACTTTTATGATGAGCATTGTTTGCGTAAACAGCGACTCTGACTTTTCCATTTAGTAGAGAATAGACACCGATTAGGTCAAGCTTTATGTGATTCCCTGTCACTTAACAAATTAAGCAGAATCCTTTCTGAGTTACCCTCCACAGGTATATTCAGAGGTCTTCTTTACACAATAAACTCAAAACTAGTTCTTTCACTATAAAATATAAAAATGTTCTCCATATCTTATAGGATGACTGTTACAATATCAATTGAAATAACTGTAATTCTGCAATGTATTCCTCCAAATAGTATTTATTTATACACATAGATTGTGTACATGTGCATTTTTTAAAATAACTAAACATACATCTGATATTTTGTTTGTATGATAAATAATGTTATTACATATTTTAATATCAGAGCAGAGTGTTGGATTTATTTATAACATTTTAATAGAAAAGAAATAATTTTACTTGGATGCACACCCAAGCACAAGCTACTGATTGTATCTGTGAAGTGGGGATCAATACATGTCATTTTTCTGTTAGGTTATATTCTCTAAGGTGGTATTCCATGTGTTAAATAATCTGTTACAATATCATACAAGGGTTTTTTTTTTTTTTTTTAAAGTGAGAATTCAAAGTGAATTCACAATTAACTTCAAATTTTAGGCCAGGGCAGCAGAACTAGAAGGATATCGAATGTAAGCTCATTTTAGCAGGGTCCTCTTCAACCTATCGTTCCTGTAAGTTTTTTGTAATTGTCCTATTTATAGTCAAATCCCCCTCTCATAATATTGTAAAGTGCTACGGAATCTGTTGACTCTATATAAATGGCAATAATAATAATAATGTCATTTTTTCAGTTTAGATATTTTACCTTAAATTTAAAATTCACTTTGAATTCACTTAGAACTCTCGCTTTAGTGAATAACCCTAACATTTTCAATACAGTTAGACAACTTTGAGTTGGATAGCTTGATTAGATGTATATTTATACACTTTACCAGGCATGTCTCATGTCTGCACAAAGGGTGAAAAATAGTGTTGTGTATGCTCATCTGGCCACTACCCAGTTTAATTGGGGTCCAAACAATCCCAGCATATAGCAGCATATTGCACACTTAACCCCTTAAGGACACATGACATGTATGACAT